TGCTTTTGTGTTAGTTTTTTTCTTTTTTTTTTCCCTCTTCTCCTTTTCACACATCAATATTGTTAGTACAAATCCTGCCTGTATCCACAGTTACATGTGGACAAACTTACTATCTTGAAATCAAGTCCTGGGCTGTTACTATTTTTGTACTATGGCCTGCTTGTTAGTGGGCATCTGGATTTGAATCTTAATTTGATTTAGGGTAGATAGCAAACCTTAAAGTAATTTTTCAGTTTTGTGGTACATTGGGGAACTCTCAGTGCACATTTCACAAGCTCCTTTAGTTGTTAGTGGTGATACCTGAAATTAAGAGCGATGCATAAATAAATGCGTATTGCACTAATAGCAATAGAATCTGAAATAAAAGCTCTTATTTTTAAATAAGGGAGTCCTCAACCATAGCTAACTAGCACTAGTCAAGTCATACTAACTACTCATTTACTTCCATGGCATAATGTAATTCTGGACTAGCTCTTTGGTGAATGAGAATAAAATGTAAAACAATAAAACCCTCAAAACCAAGCAAATTCCCCCATCCCTTAAGAAATGAAAAGAACGAAAACGTAGGTGTATGACTTGAGATACACGTGAGAACGAGATGTGGCAAGTAGAAAGATACTCACTTTTTCCCTTTTGCACATGCCAAGTAAAAGCACAACCTAAGCCTGTGGGTGAGAAAATTGCAGTGAATTGCCCAGCTTATTTTATTTCTATTTTTGAAACTTAGATCTCCATACAACACCCAGAACCCCAGGAATCAGAATCTAATTTTTGAGCCCCCAGGCTATTATCTGCAGCTGTGCAATGTTAGAGCATACTTTGGATACATCAATATTTGAAGGCACAGGCTAATTTTTGTCTAGTAATACAATTGTACGTCTGTTTGCTGATGTCACCCTGTTATCTCTCATGTGACTTGCACAAGGCAGGTACAAGCTGCAAAGTAGTGAACCACTCATATCTGATGGTGGTCATCTACTTACACAGATGAAAACCAGTAAATCTCAATTTACTAAGAATACCCATACAGTTTTGATGAGCTAATGATACTCAGGTAGTTTGGATTCAAAGATTGGCAGTTCTTATTTTATTTGAGAATAGGTGATGAGTAGATATGCTATGCACAAGGCAGACACTCATCTGCTAGACATGTTGGACTGCTTCAGTGCTATATGGAGCTACATCCTGATGGAATAATAAAATAAGTCTTGCTAGATTTTTATAAAAGTATTTCTTGCTGTTGCTACTGCCAGCCTCTCAGCCCAACAACGGGGAATTTCTTGGTGTTTTGAAGAGCTTGTTAGGAAGCACAAAACAAGGTTGTTCATATTTCTGGAGCAAAGGGCTTCTCTGACAGTGACTACTTTCCTTTCTTTCCTTTCTTTCCTTTCTTTCCTTTCTTTCCTTTCTTTCCTTTTCTTTCCTTTTCTTTCCTTTTCTTTCCTTTTCTTTCCTTTTCTTTCCTTTTCTTTCCTTTTCTTTCCTTTTCTTTCCTTTTCTTTCCTTTCTTTTTCTCTTCTTTTATTTTCATTTTTTTTTCTCTTGGCTCCAAGTACACAAATGCACTCAGCCAGCGTTTGTGTCTGTTTCTCAGTACTGTTGAGAGATCTCAATACCCTCTTTTACACAGGAGTCAGTTAAAATTTTTAGTTTCTGTATAGGAATTTTTTGAGTTGTAAAGAACACAGGTACTTTAGGGAGTACGGAACAAATCTTTGCACACGGGACAAACCAAAAATCTGAGACATGTAGCCTACTCTTACACTAACCTCTCAAAATTGTAACTAATAGGGATATTGGAGCCACATTGGAATGAGAGCTGCATGGTCCCACTGGTATGTGGCACTCTGCTTCCTGCAAGGTACTGTTTAGCATGCAAAGTACAAGTTATAAATCTAAAACCTCTGAATTGGGAAGGTTTTCATTCATATGAAAGATTTTTTTCCTTGGGACATAGTACCTTACAGTGTACACAAGCCGGAAACTCATTCAAATATTAGAAAGCCAACAGAAGGCAGAATGTTATCTGAGAAAGCTTGGAACTGGTAGTCCCAAATCCTCCTACTTCAAGGTGGGCTACATCTCGATATGTTTGGTTCCTGAGCAATGAGAAGGAGGATGATAGCAGGAGCTCATAAATTTCACAGTGCACAGTAGCTGATTGGTTAGAATATACATTAAGTGCTGGGTGAAGAGGAGCTTTTTTTAGGAGACTGTTTTATAACTATATTTTAAATGTTTCATGGAATGCCTAAAGCAAAAGATAGCATTTCTTTTTAATCAGGGTATTTATTTGTTGAAATAAATGAATAATTTATTTCCTTGCTATCTTGGTTGTATGTCTTCTTTCTGTGGATCCTTGTCAGGTTGTACTTCAAATGGATATTTTTAGACAGCAGTGTTGGTCTTGGGGAATAATTGAAGCATAGCAGTAGGTGAGTTATATGTCCCTGTAGTTGGCCTTTGGACCTTTTGAATGTCAGTTTTTATAGTAATTTCGTTACTTGAAAACATGCCATGGTGATTAAGTGTTCACATCTTTTATCCCAGCAAATCAGTTGCCATCTTTGCATTGATCAGTCAGGAATACTGCAAGCCTTACTATGTTGTGTTCAGCTGTCTTCGTGATATACATATAACAAGTATAGGGTAATTTTTCCATCTGACCTTCCTTCAGTCTGATCTTGTCTCTATTTTTGTTAATGCAGATCAGGTAGTGTGACTCAAAGGGGTCTGAATGCACGTCTTCTAAGTATGTTTATGGGTTTTTTTCTACTTATTCATCTATTTATTTTGACAGTGGCTTGTGTGCACATGTTTTTGTGTATTTATTTGCACGCCTGCATGTACTTGTCAAAATACCTTCCAGATTTTGCTTCCAAAATGCTGGACCTGGTTCTCAAACTCGTGCAATTACTTTGTTTTAAAAGACTTGTGGCAAATATAGGTAAGTGAAGGAACAAGTGCAATCCAAGAGTGTTTTAGTATTGCAGGTCTAAACTAACAGGTTGGTGAAATAATGAAATTTCTTTAATAAAAAATCACAGAGATACCTTTGAATAGTCATACCATTTAGAGCATAGTTAATTACAAAAGTATCTCATATGAAATAAATAATGGGCAAATTAATCTATGAAAGCATCCTGGACTAAAATAAAATGTCACAGAAAGAAAACGGGAAGATATTGGTCGTTGCTGTTTATTGGCATATGTTAAATTATTTCAGCTGATTATCTCAAGTGATGCTAAAGAATTTAATCTCCAATAAAATGAAATCACCCTCTGAGATAATTAAAAATAGATGTAATGGCTTAACTTCCTTCGTCAGAGTATGAAAATGTAGTTGTATATGTTTTAAGTACTCAGGCAGACGTATATGTAAAAGAAGGAATTTATTTGTAGTAAAGTACAAGGATTGTCTATTTTTGCACTGATAGATGACAGTTTGAGAGTATGGTCTTTAGCTTGAAAGCTCTGTGTTCCAGGATCTCTTTAGACAAGACACTTTTTCAAAAAACCATAGATTTGCAGATTTCTAAAATATTCTAGGAAATGGATCTTGAGATAATCCTTCTCAGAAACTGTGTGCTATAATAATGCAAGTTCAAACAATTTAATGTATGAGTCAGTTGATGTTCTAGCTAATTTTATTCAATGTTGTAATGACTTCATAGCACTTGGTAGAAATAAATTAGTAATAGTGAATATGTGAAAACAAACTTGATATTCCCTCAGCCTGTAAACATTTTATGACATACATGTTTCTATGGAAAATCTTAACTGAAATTCTACATATTACAGTTACTGATCCAGTCATTCTCTGTTTAAAAGATTACCTTTTCAACAAAAATAAAATTCCCAAACAGGAAAAATTGTGGCTTCTCTTGATTTTTGCACCAGTTTCATCCCAAATAGATTGTATTATGCTGTGAAGATAAAAAAACTGATACAAAAGCCGATATTAAAAAACAATGCTACAGTAGCATCATGATCATCCTTATCAGGCTTATGATGTAAAGACTGCTCCACAATTCCCCAGACTTTCAAAAGTGTAGTGTATGGCTAAATACTTAACCTACATGCAAAGATACTGCCATGGGTTATGCCAGTCATGAGGCAGTTTGTGCAAAGACACCATCCAAATATCTGACAAGAGCTTTAGCTCCAGTAGACTTTAGCATATGCAAGTTATGCCCACTTTTGGAAGCAAATCTAGAAGATTCACCTGAGTTTTTTTCTCACGCCCAGTGATAGATACTGTTGAATTTTAACATCTTTCATAATGGTACTCCCTTTTTTTTCCACAGAGATGCAGGGTAGAAATTTTGATCAAAAAGTCTGATCTTGTCTTAATATTAGCTAACCTTCATGTCATTCCTTTCTTGAATGGCCCTGTTAAAGCCATTTCCCACTATGGATTTTTAGTATATTGTATTAGCATTTTCCACCTTTTTGCTACTATAATAAATGAAAATACTAAATCACATCTATCCCTTAACTGTTTATTAAGAACTTTGGTTGCTGGTATTCTTTTCAGCTTTCCCTGTTATAAGTTACCTTTTTTGTTCTAATGAGACTTAGTTCTCTCCCTTTTAAATAACTTTGTCCTATTAACCAATACCAGATAAATTCCCTTTATCACACTTCCTTTCTCATTAACATTATTGTTTACTTTGATTGCATCTAAAGTTGGACTGATTAAGATAGAAGAAAAGAAAAAAAAAAACCACATCGATGCATTATAAATTGAATGTATTACAATGACCAGGTTAAACATAAAACTATATATTGAATGAAATGTGACACTTAAATAAAACAAAATTTTTATGGAACAAACCTGTGATGTAGTACAGCATAAGCACAACAACCTGCTTTAGACATAGGATAAATCAAATGGAAAAATAAAAATTGCATATTGCCTTTTAATGGTTAGTTGAACTTTCTCCCAGAACTCAAGCCTAATTTTAATACATTTTCCAACTGTTTCTTTTTCCTTACAGTATTTGGGCTGCATAGAAGTCTTACGGTCAATGAGATCTCTTGACTTCAGTACTAGAATGCAGGTTGCAAGGTAAGATTTTGTACAACTATGTTTTTTAAAGTAACTTCTGAATTGTGTCCTCAGAGTGAAAAGGCCAGAAAGATGGCAAAACACATGGTAAAGGATTTTTGGATGCCATAAGTCCAGTTTTAAATTTTGCTTTTACATGTAAATCCCTTATGTGGTATTAATACAGTTTCAGCAGGACTTAAAACTGTTTTCTCTTGGATTTTTGATATGCCAGGAGCTACTTTTGAAAAATTTTGCCTGTTCGTTATGCCAAGTAAGGCACTTATCTGGGCACCAGTGAGAATTAGAATATGCTTAAAATCTATGATCTCAAAATTAATCTAGGGAGCTGGTTTGCAGTCCATGTTTATGGGTTTTATAGTAATTTCTTACTTAAAGTTTTCAGATTATAAACTATCTGCACAAGGAATATAAAGGAAAATCTATCACCACAATGGTACCAGAGACAAAAAAAAAAAAATAAAAAAAACACATTTCTTTTTCAGACTGTGTGTAAGAAACAATAAGCTTGTATTAACTTCTTATGTCATGGTATTTCTGTAAGAGCAGTATATAAGGACAAGACTAAAGAAGTAGAAATGTCCACTATTTTTTTTTCTATGAAGAATATTTTCTGAGAACTACAGGAATGGTGTTTTGCAGGCATTTTCACTTGAAAAACCGAGTCATTGATTTCAGAGGAATGTAGCATTGATGTCTTCTAGCAACTGGAGACCACATTTTCAAATTCTGGAATTGAAATGATAAAAGAAATCCTTTTCAAAGAAACATGTATAAAGTGATATGACTGGATACAGTGCTTGAATTTCAACCCTTTGAGCGTCTTGCAGTTGACAATAAATAAATCTGTCATAAGCCATATATCAAACCACAAACAGCTAAATATTTATTTTATTAATTGAGAACAATCACTTGTTTTTAGGCTTGGATGCTAATCATGTGGTCTATATGCACTGACTTTGAGTTACACTTGCATACAGCAGCTTTGAATTGGGTCATGTAAGTCCTCACAAAAGTTAACCATTAATTTGTCAAGATACCGCTCTGATGAGAGGCATAGAAGCCAAAGGACAGGTAAATGACAGAATCCCGTTTTTCAAACAATGTAGACTATGGAGGCATTTGATATTTTTAATACTGTACTTTTAAAAATGTATCATGTACATTTCTGATATAGTTCATCAGTGACCTTTGAAAATTATTTCAGACTTGTAGTTCTAAGCAGACTTGTAATTCTAATGCAGGTGGTACATTTATGTTTACCACTTAGAAATTCAGTGTTACTCGCTTATGAAACAGTTGTGATAATTATTTGGCTTGTTTTCTATATCTGGAAGTGAATTAATCTTAATTTTTCTGCACAGTTTCCTTCACTGTATGCCTTCATTGTAATAGTGTTGTACTTTTCTTATTTTCTAGCTTAAAGGCACTACTCTGACATGAACACATAAGCATATTTGGTGATCTGAAGCAATATGGTCTACATAAACAAAATAGCTTTGCCATGTAGTTCCTCCAATAAAAAAGCAAAAAGTTTATTGGCTTCTACTGTAGAACAAACTTGGAATTGTATTTTTTTTCTGTTGAAAAGTTGAAGTTATAGCATATATCAGTACATGAAATCATTTTGTTATTCCACCTTCCTCTAACTACAGTGCAGAATATTTTTTTTCAAGCAGAAAGCCATATCTTCCTGGTTTACTTTTTATTTTGCATTTACAGTTTTCTATTTATCATTAAACAATGAAATCTCATCATTTTTGTAATGTAGTTCCTGAGCTAAAATTTTTAGGTTTTTAGGTAGCTTTTGAATCAGGACCTAGGATCTTAATCTGCATTTCATTAATTTGTCTGGCTCTGGAACTTCCCTTGTCATGTCCTAGGTTTTCAGTGCTCACATGCTTTGCTATGTAGCATTTTACATACAAGCCTGTTGTTTATTAAGAAAATATTAAGGAATTGCTAGAATTCACACATGGTAGTTAATTTCCTGGTGTGTTTTAAGAAACATAATGTAGGCCTCAAGGTATGTACTGAATTAATAAGACTGATGTTCTGATATTACAGGCACCAACTCCCTCTTAAGAAGGCACCTGGTACCAAATGGTCTGTGCAGCCCTTTGATTACAAATAAAATAAAAGCACCTGAAAGTTACATTTATGTCTACTACATCATACATGTATTTTTAGGTATGTCCATTGCTGATTTCTCTGCAGCTTGCCACCAGTAAAAAAAACCTGTCCTGGTAGCCTGATGGCTCCTGATGATGTGTGGCCAAGGCTTAGGTCTGTAGTGTTAGCTGTGACTGCATCAGCCAAGGAGCCAGGGTCCATAGCTGAAGTAAAAGCTTTTCTGTGTAAACATCTCTGTGCTGTTTCCTCTAACCAGAGAAACGGATGCAGCTGCAATCCCTTTCTGGCCCACAACTTTATAAATTGATCCTACTGCATGTATCACACCTATTGGATCTGTAATTTTTTCAAGACCTTTCAAAACCAGTCATAGAAGAAAGTGATCTGTCTTGGAATGATATGACTTTTGCCATTATGCAGTATTTACTAAGTATGATTAAAAAACAGGGAAAAAAAGAGTAAAGTTACTTGATTTATTATGAAAGCCTGGATGCATTTCTTCCTAATAAGTAGGCATCATGTTTGACACATACAAAGCACTTACTCCCTTTCTAGCACTGCATCACATGCCTGTCCCTGCCTCCTTTGTTAACCTTACTTTTTCTTCATGTTGCAGAGCTTAAACACAGGAAGTCAGTTATTAGGAATCCTAAATTTACCTGTTTTCTGCCTTCAAGTTATTGCATATGTCACTTTATGTCTCTGTCAGCTTCGAGGATGAGCAAATCCCCAAAAGTAAAATAAGCGGTATCAATTCCTAGAAGAAAAAGCTTGCGGGGCTCAGTAATGGGAGGGTAAGACATGTAGTCTCCTGCTCTGCTTGAAAACTCCTGGTGTTATTTTAGACAAACTGTTAGTCCCAGTCACAGACAACTCTGTGATTAAACAAATTAGTGCTTGTAAATGGCACTTAAATTGTTGAGTGAGCACTTAGAAATTACTTAAAAATTGGACTGAGATTTCCACTTATCTGGTGAATTAGAGGTAAGAAGTTCATGGGGAAAGGGTTGTGTAGACAATTTGAATGGCTTTAAAATCACAGTTGTTATAATGCATTAGGAAAGTATGTACATCAGTGTGCATGCATGGATGTATCTGACAAATGAAGACCTTTGGCTTCAATTTCAGGAACTGTATCAAAGCCCCAGAGTAACTACTTTGGTCAGCAGCCTTTCTTTCCTTCCTTATTGCAGTCCTGTGAAATACTGACTTGTGCCATCTAATGCTGTCTTACCTATCCTATCCTGTAACTTGTATTTGTTTTGCCTTTTCATTTTTTGTACAATATAATGTTAAAACTTGCAGCAATACATTTATCTTCCTGTGAGAGTAGTGACCAAACACTTTCACTTGGCATACTCTTCAACAGATCTTAATAACCTTGGTGGTACCTTGCAGTGGTATTACTGCCCTCATTTTGAGTTGAAGGAAAAATGAACAGTTATGTAAAATTTCTAACAGTTTTGCCTTTATCATTACACATACGAAGTCTCAAGATTCTCTCATTACAAGGGAAATAGAAGAACTAGAGTAGTATTAATTGGTTGCATTGTATTTATTCTGTCCTTTTAATGAATGTAATGTCATGTGAATCTTTGAGCAAATAGGATGCACCAGACAATGGTCAGCCGTTACACATAATGATAAATGAAAGCCAGCTGAATCCACATGTTGCATCTTTAATTACCCAGTGATAATTCTCGTAACACATATGAAGTCACGATGACTTTCTCGGGCAGCAAGACAAACAAAAGCATTTAATTTTCAACATAGTGGAGGAGCAGGAGGACTAGCAGACAAGACTACTGAGCTAACCACCGGTGGCAAGTGGTTAAAGTTCATCCGAAACTACCATCATCGTCATAGAAATGGGCCACTCTTAAGCTTCTGTGGCCAGGCCCTCTGTGCCTTCAGGCGTTTTGTAAAAAAAATGTAAAAAATCAGGTAAAATTCTTTTGCAACATGTGCAGTGTTTGCAGTTCATGTAATATGTTTGTATGCTTATTGTTAAAGCTACAGTAGAATAATGAGTCCTCACTTTTGTGTTTATGCATGAGTGACTTATGCACTTGTTTGAATTAGGTGTTGCATGCATTGTTTGTTGTACATCTGAGTCTGAACTACAAGGATGCATGTTCACTGGCATTTAATTGAATGCAATCCATTTACTGCATGCAGCATCATAAAGTCGCACCTCCCCATGCCAAGTAAAAGATTATGTTGCACTTTGTTTTAATAGCAATAGGTCAGAGGATGGAAATACCTCATATCAGCAGTAGACTCAAATCCAAACTCTGATCCCAGTACTCTACATTAACTCTATTGGGATAAATGGCTTGAAAAGTATTCCTCTCCAAATTTGAGGCCTGAACTTTATTAATAAAATTATTAAACCAAATCCATTAATGCTAATATCCCTGGAGGAGAGATGGTGGAAATCCAAATGTTAGAGTTGTATTTGAGTCCAATGCTGAACAATATGAAACAGTTTAGTTGATGTAGTGTTTCACCTGTGTCTGTGTTGTTTGCAGAAGTTGTCAGCAAGCATCACTGAACAAAGGGTGGAAGACATTGAAAAGCAAGAATGTGTCTCCTGCGATTCTTGAAGGCTGATAGGTAATCTGTTATCTGCAGTGAATTCTGTATTCAGAGTCCAGCTTAACATGCTGTCATGATTAAAGGTGAGTGTGTTTTATCTCTGCCTTCTTCCATGAGAACTCTGGGTGTGGAGTGGTGTTAGGAGATGGCAGAACACGTAGACCATTTGCAGTTACAGGAAGAGGTAGGCACAGCTACTTCAGAGTTAAAGATGTGGGAAGCATGAGATGGTAGCTGCTGCTTGGTTCACCAGGAAGCAGGAGTCTCAA